CCCCCATTTTTTATATAAATTGCGATAAAATCAGTCTTCTGGATCAGATCCGGATCAGCCTTTGGAATATGAAAGAGGATCCCATTGTCCATCCCTGAGTCAAATTTCATGGAGTTTGGTCAATAATTAACCGAGATATTGAGAAACAAAATTTTTGGCCCCATTTACCACAATGTTAACTAAAATTTCAAAGTGATCCAGAATCCAGGATTTCTTCCGGATCACCCCCAAAATGAAATCAGTTCTTCCTTTTCACATTTCCAACAAATCCTGAAAATTTCATCAAAATCGGTCCATAACTTTTTGAGTTATGTTGCTAACAGCAAACAAATAAACAAACAAACAAACAAACAGACAAACGCCGGCAAAAACATAACCTCCTTGGCGGAGGTAATAATATACAGGCTATTTTGCTCTGATATGGGTGTACATTTTTGTGATGGCTGATAAAGAAATACAAAGTACTAACTTTTCAATTTTACATCTGAGTAAAAGTTCAGTCAGTTCTAAACAAAAATATAAAGCTGAAGTGCTCACTACAGCAGCATGTCACACACACACACACACACACATATTCTATAGCAGGTCTCGATGCCTCTAGCCTGACGCGTCTTTAAAAAGTCATGAGATGATTTACTGCTGAAACAAGTATTCTGCCCCAACAAGAGAAAGCAGGACACGCGATCATGAGAATATGAATAATCACTGAGATTATGAAACCTCCTTGAACTAGACATACTTAGTACTTAATGGGCAATGGCCATAGCCTGTTTGTCGGGTAACAGGTGCATGCCAATAACATGATTATTATGTATTAAAGTTCCTACTTTTGCTCCACTTGTCTGATTATTCATTGTTATATAAGGCCTAGTTAGTATATCTGCTGGCATCTCGTTGTGTACCTGCATTTATATTCCCCCTCTGCTCTTTTATCTCTGTCTCTAATCAAGGATCAGGGGCCCAGGAGAGCAGGGCATAATGAGATTAGGCCTGTGCATGTACACAGTCCAATTTACACGAGGCGAGTGTGTTTCTCTGTCTGACCCACATCTCTCTCCATCCCTCCTCCGTCTTGGCTTTTTCTGTCTGTAGTCCTGCAGGCGGTTTGTGATTCACAGCATTACTTATACTGTTGGACTTTATGTGATACAGAGATAATTCAACATCCACAACAAATTCATGCTTGTGAGGTTAAGCAAGTTATACCAGAACGGGCTCATACTCTTAGTTAAGAAATGTTTTTTACATAGTTATAATAATGCCTTAGATTTACATAGCACTCTTATCAAATCAATTTATGGTTTCTATTCATCATTCATTCACTCCATACTCCAGTCCTGGTAATATTGTTCCAGTGAACAATGGGTCAAAGGCTGGCACAGTGGCTAGCACTCATGCTTCACTGGAAGTTTCTGGGTTGACCAGATCTTTCTATGTGGAGTTGCATGTTTCTTCTATCTGGATGAGTTTCCTCTGGGTGCTCTGGTTTTCCCCCATCAACCCAAAACATGCTACATGGGTCTCCACGAAGAATAGCTTATAGCTAAGGTCAGTTAAAAAATATCAAGCAATGAACCTGCCCAGGGACTATAGGTGGAAGTTAGCACTGGTGCTACAATCTGCTACAATGCATTTCTCCTGTTAAGGTTAATGTATATTATGCACTGTCCCTGTCTCATTAAATAAATAAACTAAACTAAACTAAATGAAGGGGGCACACGTCAGGACATTTATGTACATGACAATAAAGTGTACTTGTTATTACAGAAATGTATGTTGCCAAATTCAGATGTTTTTTTGTTTTTTTTACCCAGATTTCATGTGACCAGCAACAAGGTGAAAACTAGAAAACTATCTAAAGGAGTCTAGTCTGCATGGTGACTGCATGGTCTGCTCGGTGTGGGACTAGATTGTGAGTGAGAGGTTTCAAATGTATTTGAATTGAATTTGAATTTGAATTTATTTGTTTGGAGGATAAGCCCCTTGAGATGTGTCACCATCTCGTTTTCAAGGGGGTCCTCAAATGTATATTTTCAAATGCATATCAGTCTATTACCTCAAACCACCAATTACAAAAGGTTTTTGCTCTTGGGAAATTGAATGATCACTGCTTAGAGAGGACCTCCTATTGATACAGTTTGGAGGTGATTAAATGAGTCAGCCTGTTCAAATTTCCTATAATCCTAAATTATTGTTCCCTGTGGAGACACTAATTTGGTCTAATATTGTATTATAGTTCAACCCAAAAGGCAAAGTAGACATCAATAGTCAGATTGGGCTGTGCATCCATAACATAATCAGCACTGTGGGAGCCATAAAAATGAATGGATTAGGTCTATTTGTCCCACTTGGCTTGTATTTAAATTGGAAGATGGCACTAGAAGGAATTAATCTGTGATACAGAGGCCTAAAGTCTATTTAAAACACAAAGTCACTCCACCAAACAGTGCATCGTTAAAGGCAACAGCAATGTGCAGATTGATCTTACCATTTGTCAGCTGACAACAAGTACATCTCCACAGGCAGAATGTGACATAAGAGAAATTGAAGATTAAAGTGAATTTGACTGGAAATCTGTATTTACAAATGCCATGGTGATGTGAAGGGCTGTTAGCGCTGAAAGATGTATTTTAAATATGTGCTTCATTAATGGAATACAAGAACTTTATTACTGGCAGTGTATTAGTGGTGCACAGAGAGGTTGTGTGCCTGACTCCCAGTTGTGGCATTTGTTTACTGTCCTTAACCACATGCTTCTCCCCATTTTGTGTGGTGTCTCTTCTGTCCAACAATGCTGTTAGGCCAAAGACATTTTTTGTGGTGATGATTATTACACACTTCACATGGATTCTAACATGAGCTAGTTTTCTTGTCTCCTCCACATCGTTTGCTTCTAGTTAGCAGCAGCCCCGGGTGAATGCATTGATTTCTAGTGTGGCACCCTTAATGGCAATATTTTCCTTAATATCAAATCCCCGGTCTGCCTGCACTACCTCTCCAGGTGAAAGCTTCTCAAGAAAGCTGCAGTTTTTAGTTATATTTAGTTTTCAGTCTCAACTCTAGCAAGAAGATATTGTGCTCTCTCAATAAAAAGTTCAAAACAGTCAATAGTAACTCTGTTGATGTGGCATGCTAGCCTATACGCAATGTCTCTTTGGCCAGTGCAGAAGGGCTGAGGTGAGCATTCAGTACATTTATAGTGTCAATGAACAGGCTAGATGTGGTTGTCTGATTTATATCAAAGAGGTGTGCAATGTGGTCAAGTGGCAGATTTAGCCTTAAGCACTTGAGGGTCAACAAGGGTATCTGAAAAGAAGAACTCTTTCAGTCCGTGATGGCTGGTTGAATGCATAATGGGTAATTTGCACCAAAACACCCATCAACAGAACAAGGGAAGGCAGCCCTGTGTAGTACTTCACCTTCACCTCAGATTATTGTCTTTGAGGAAGTTCTCACCCCGTCTTTTTTGGAGAATTTTTTTTTTTCAATTTTCAGTTCTCTTCCTACAGGTGCATGATTTCCTTGAGCCTGAGGGAACACATCTCTTGCCTCTCCATCACTGTCCTGACTGCTATGCTCTGCCCTGCTTCACCCTCAGCTGCAAGTGTGTACTTGATGCTAAAAAAAAAAAAGAAACGTATATCATTACAGATCAGTCAGATAAAGGGAAATATCACTAGTACCACACAGACAAAAGTAGTATAGCTTTTGAGTAGAATAACAGGGTAAGTACTAATAATTTTACCTTCATGGATTTAGCCTGCATCATCCTTCTTTAGCTTTGGTTTGGTGTTATGAGAAACTGCTGGTAAGAGTTTGCTCGCTCACTTAACTGGTCAAACCTTGCTGTGTTAGCAGCTTTACCTCCAAATGACCAAGGTGAAGAGAAGGTGCACAGTCAGGGTCACACAAAAACTAAACATCAGCCTACAAATTTACAATCGAAAACATCTCTGCCAACCACAACAATAATGCTGTCAAACTACTTATTCTAACCAAACATTTGAACCATATATAGATGCAGTCTATGGTTTGAAGTGCATCATGTTAGTGTTGCATAACACATATCTAATGAACTTACCTTTGTGGAAATGCTTGTGACACATAGGAGTGTTCCATAAAGTTATGCTTCATCTCCGTTTAGGGGCTATCCATACCATCCGCTGCCACTTTGTGACTTATGAAGCATGACTTGAGCTGTTCTTTTTCCACTCAGGAAAACGAAAAAAGCCTATTTGTTTGCCTGCCAAAGTCTATGACTGTCATCCAAATGATCATGGAAGTTGATTACACAACAACTTCTTGCCATTGTCTCTTTTTAACCTACACTAGATCGAGTTGTGTTTGTTTATACAGCCCGCCACTTCTACACACAATTCTTTGAGTTTTAACTACGGAAGTTATGTCACATTTTCAATCTCTATAAATAGTATTGGAGGACAGCTCTTTTATATTTATATCTAGTTGTAGACTAAATCTCACTAAGTCACAACACACCAACACATCTGACTTTATGTTTGCTTCACTGGATATATTAAAAAGGTCACTACCACAATAGCTATTTCTTACGACTTACCTGTAGTATCACATGACTTGCAAGACTGCTACATGCATATATTTTGAATTATAATTTGGCACCACAAATAACTATGTTTACTGATCCATTACATCATTAGTAATTTGCATGCTGGATTACTGTATATCCCTGTTGTTGTCTCTCTCTGGTGATCACTAAGCTGAAAGTGTACATCTTGTGTTTAGAAAAGAACAAAGGACTCCATGTCTTTTGCTATGAGTGCATTCCCAATCACTCGATGCTGCAGCAGTCCACAGACAGACTAGAGCTGTACAATACGTCCCTGATGAGATGTGGGCTGTGAGGAAGAGAGGAGCAGATGCACTTCCTGGCTGACACTTTCACATACCCACACATTATTTCCATTATATTGTATAGTCTCATCATTTTGCTCTGTGGCTAACCATTTTGTTCTCTGGTCTAGCAGGTGGCAGGAGGGAGGCCGGGTGTAATGTGACCCAAGCCTGAGCTACAGCACCACAACACTGAGGTCAGGTCTCTGCTGACTGCTGTTTACTGTGCATACAAACCACAGCCTCTGCACTGACACTGCTGTGCTATATGAGAATTCAGTTTAATGTTGTTGCACAGATAGCAACTGTTAATGATTGTTATAGTAAATATATAAAAAATAAGTGACAAATTTTGGTTGAATAATTTAATTGTGTAACATAATATGATGTATGATAATATGATCTTCCAATTTTGACAGTCTTTAAAAATGTTGTAGCATATTAATACATTCTTTCCTTTAAGGTTGTGATAAGTTATTAATCTTTTACACTGTTAAAAGATCATTGCCAGTTTGTTGTTCAGTCGTCCACCACTGATAGACGCCTAAAGCTTCAACTCATGCTGTCAGGTTCCATGGATATTAAAATTGCACTCTGAAGTTAACCGAGCAAGGTAGATTTGATGTTACTTTATTTGGTTATTTTAAAAGGTAAGGGAAAAAAGTATGAGCCCGGTTTCTCTGGGCTTGTGTTGACAGAGCACACCTGCGGCTTGGACCACACCCGGCCCTCCCTGTTTACTTGGCACAGACTATCATTTCAAATTAATAGTTTAAGATGATAACATGATAAGTTGTTGAAATAGCAGCAAACATTTTATTTGGAAGGTTCACTTACCTCAACTGGCTCAAGGTTTGATGTTACTGGAGATTTATGTCATGTGATGACTGGCTATTTTATATAATCAAGAATCCCTAGCCCCCAGTTTCAATGGCATATTATAAGTGTGGTTGTGACCCAGACATTCTCAGAGGCAACAGCGTGTAGTTCTTCAAAGTGCTCTTTGAAACTGGCTCCTTGGAGCTGTGATGTGTTTGCTGAAATGTCAAATGCACATTACATTGACTGTCTGGTTTGTGGTCTTTGGTCTGGGCTGATGCAAATGCTTTCACAACCACATCTACATCAACAACTCCATATTCCTCCAAGATCTGGTTCAATGCTCTGGGAGGAAGATGTAGACCGACTCCCATGGTAAGGCTATGACTGAAAGGGGCAGCCCCAAAACAACTCTCTAGATATTTTCATAATAAAATGTTGACCATATTGTCCACAGGAAACATATGTATATATATATATATATATATATATATATATATATATATATATATATATATATATAATATATATATATATATATATATATATATATTATATATATATATATATAAGCAGTCTAAAGATAAAAGGGTTGAAATAGATAAACACTTATTAACTAATTATTCATTAAAAATAAAGAAAGGATTGACTGCTAAAAGCAGACTCTGCTGATCCAACTTTACAAAAAAGTAAAAATAAGATTAAAATCTGCTTCTAGATATTGAGCAGTACGTATTGTCTTCCCCACACACAAAGACACTATTGACTATTCAGACCCTGTAATTATCCGGAAATTAAAAAATTGATAGCATCTTTATTGCGAGCCACTTTTGTCTTGTTCAAATCTATGAATATTAATTATCTCCTCTAGGCATTCAGCAGTTGAACAAAATATTATACCTCCTATGTTTTACTTACTTATTCTGAGCTTTTGATGTGAAATGTCTTTCTGCTGTTTGCACCATGACAATGAAATAATGAAAAGGGATGTCAAATGTGGACTGCTATGTTCTGGTACTAGACTTGCTATGAAAGCATGGACTGTCACCCCACATCTTTTAGAGTCTAATTCGGCTAGTATTTCTTGGTTAAACAATTTTTCAAAAACTTGGAGATTGAACACGTGTTACGAAGAGACCTGGTTTGGAGTTGAATGCGCGTGTTGTCTTTCTGCTGGCTTTTGCTTTTTGTATTGTGCGAGTAGGAGGAGCCGCTTTCCTGTGATTGTCCTCTCTCTCTCTCTCTCTCTCTCTCTCTCTCTGTCTCTCTCTCTCTCTCTCTCTCTCTCTCTCTCTCTCTCCTCTCTCTCTCTCCCTCTCTCTCTCACACACTCTCTCCCTCTCCTCTCCCGCGTGATCCTGTTCTCATATCCCCCAAAGTTGAATAGTGCGTTTTGCCTCGGAGCTATAGCTGGCGGAACAGCCTGACAGTAGCACCCGGACTGATCCACGCTCGCGTACGCAGAACGAGAAGACTTTCTCTGGTCACTCGTTGCCTCCGCTATCCTCTTGTTTTCCCTCAACTTAATTTCTTGTATTTTTACAAGATGACAGCGGAAAAGAGAATACGACGTGGAGAGCTGGTAGGTGATCTGAACCCGCTCCATACGCAGTGCACGAGTGTTTGCTTGATTTGGGGGGAATCGGCTGTTGGCTGAAGCGCGCGGTATTGGCACAAGTGAGCAGAGATTTCTAAAGGACCGGTGGTTGTTTGCGCGGACATCAGCTGGATTTGTCTTGACGCGCTTTGCCTTTGGCTTGAATGGAAGCGAGTGTGAAGCGTGCTATCCTGTCAGGGGTAGGCTGGCAGCTGAGGTAAACTTCAACATTTAATATTGTTGGCATTTGTAATGTAACCTAGTTAGCGTTATAGGATACGCTACTGGACTGTTCTGGTGGGATGGTGAAATGTGGAACATGCTGTGCGCGCGCAAAGGGAACACGCTTGGGCAATGATTTCTAATTCACTTTTCACAAGCGTATTATCTGATCACTTATCATTATTAGACTGAAATTTGCTTGTCATGTATATCTGCTATGAGATGTAGGGTGGGAATAGGAAGACTATAACATGCATGTTCAGACTGTTACAAAGGAATAGAGAAGATGTTACACAGTAGTAGGCTATCATTTAATGGTCTCTATGTGACTATAAGCTACTTATATAGTGACTTATACAGCGTATTCATTTTTTTTAATCTACCCTACGGCATTTAAAAGAGTAAATCATCCTCCTTGTAATCAGTGCTATTAAAATATTGTCAACAATATCTGAATAACAGAAATGCTGTAGTAAAAGTTGTAAATGAAAATGTTTAAAGTGCCTCTTTAAACTGAAAAAAAAAAAAAAAAAAAAAAAGCATCTGGCTTAATTCCGGGGCTTCAGTGTAGAAAAGCACTAGCTCAGTCAGCTCATATACATAGCTGTAATGTCCCTGGGCTTGCCCATCTCTGCTCTGTGCCTCTATTGCATTCAGCTGGCAGAGCTCTGAACTGACACTTGTGTACGTTCTCTTCTATCTTTAGACTTGTTTTCCGGTCTGTCCTCTGCTCTCTATCATTCACCCTCTGTAGGATCATCCTGGCATCCATCATGTGTTGTTCCATCCAACTCTCCTCTCCTTCAGGATCTGATTGGATGTTATGGAAGGATGTTTTACTGCTGTTAGTCTTGTCTGAGTTTGTCAGTCAGTTAGGGGTTGCCGTGTACAGCGATAAAATAGTCTTGACTTGGGAACTGGTCCAAACACTTTCTGTAACTGGAATTGCCTGGATTGGGAAAGGCACAATACTGGATATTGCTTGACTTTGAGCGAGTGCAACATAATCACTCTTAATCTTGCTTGTCGAATGCATATTTACACCAATTTCATGTTATTGCATGTTTTAATCCAGCAGTAGGCTATCTTTGTGGTCTTTACAAGTCCAGATAAATCAATCTTGTGGTTGTGTCAGGTAAAGAAAATAACCAAGCATAAAATGTTTATTGTTTTTATGTATGTGTTATATTATATTATATAAATCTAGATGTATGTTAAGAGACAGAAGTTTTGTGAATGTAACAAGAAATAAGTCATACCTAAATCCTATGTTCCATTTGACTAACCCTACCAAATTTAACAACAAAATATGAAGCTCAACTACTTTTTGTTCTACAAATTGACCTATTGCTAATCCAATAAGTGTCTCAATGTAATCTATTGCTGCAACAGTTAAACCACAGAAGAACCCAAGAATGTTTTGAGTTTGGCTCTCAGACAACAGTTCATACCACAGTGCCTCTTATAATATTAAAGTCGACAGTTATAGTTATCACTTTTCCAAATGAAACTTGAACAAGCTCTAGTGCATGTGCTATGTGGCGGCCCCTTTCATTCATATACCGTTAGAAACCAAAGAATCCGCACCCCTGATGGTTTAAGACCACGCCATTCCCGACTAAATCCTCTACAATTCGTCATGCTTTCCTGGCTTTCTGCTACAAATCTGGACCACAGCAATGCCACTAATTCTTCTCAGCAGTTCAAATGAATGGTTTGAGAGAGACAACATGCTTCACTTTTAATAAACACTGTTTCCTCTGAGATGTTTAGCCTGGACTGGTGACCCTGGGTGCTCTTGGATGTACTTAATGATGTGAGAAAACCATTATGTAGCAGAAAATAATAGAAGGGGTTACTCACACTGCTGCTGTACGCCTAAGGGAGTGCACGGCCATTTGTTTAACATAATATGAACAGTCAGTCGGGGGCTATAAAATATGTACGTTATAGGCTATAAAAGTTACATTAGAATCGCTTAAGTGGGTTTTATTGATTAGAGAAAATATTTATTAACTGTAGTCGTCTTTTCTTTTATTATGCAGTTTTATCAGCGTGAAGGCATTCCACAAAAATTATAGGTTGGTTAGGGTTAGGGTCTAAAGTTCTGAAGTAATCAACAGTCTGCATAAACTTCCTTTTCTTGCATTATGGTTAGCAATCAAAATTAATGGCAAAGAAGTAGCACATTTAAAAGTAAAACATTTTAAATTGTGTATTTATTTAGCATTTCTAGTTGGGCTGGGTGATATGCTGATGGACTAGACCAAAACTTGACCAGGATTAGAAGAGACTAGAAGACAACTACTGTACAGTACATCAGGACTAAATGAGTCCAAACCCAGACCAAAACAAAGCAATATAAATATACTAAATACATGAATCTTGATAAACACAACATGTGATCTGGCTCCAAGAAAATCATGATAATATTTTTTTTGGCATATCACCCACTCCTCATTTCAGTACAGTTGTCAGTACTTTCCACATATTTAAAGTATCTACCCTTTGCAGTGTAGAACATCTGACATTCTCCCTCTTTAATAGAGTATGAGATTT